ACACACCCAATCCTCCAAGGCCCATTTCCGCCTAGTTTGTGACGTTTCAGACAAGGCTATTGTCTCAGATACGATTCTTACGCGGCCAACAGCACTAGGATATGAGAGGCTTTTACAGGACACCATGGAAGGCGGCAGCGCTGCATCATCACATTCCATGCAGGGCGGGCCTAATATGAGCGCTTCCGGGGCTTTTGTGGATACCGCGCAGAAGTGTTGAAATATTTTCTCTCATGCATCAAGCTTCTCAGTATTACTGAAAGAAATATTTATTCACATTGATTGCTTAACATAATAATGTGTCCACAATCCATAGCGTCAGACGTGTCAATCATTCATTTACCCATGAGCTACGACCTAGAATAAGGTTAAACTCTATTCGCGATCTGGTCTGCACTGTCATATAATGGAGCAATTATGCAACCGCGTACCGTGAAACAAGGAGTCGACTTGTTCGGTATCATGGAATTTCATCAACACACATGATCTACCAATTAAATGAGTGTGTCGCAAACAATGCATAATCTTTGAGGAGCCACATGAAACAACATGTGTACTTAGAAGGATCTGCGGGTTGGGACCCTGGACCTTACAAGTCTAATCAAGAACACAGCTTTTTCTCATCTATTTTTGAGCATGTATAGAAGTGTAACATATTGGTACCCATTTATGTCTTTGAAGTTTGGGTATCCAAGGGCACCCCCACGGGCACCTGATTTTTACACCCTAACTATACTTTTTGCTGACATGGGTCAAAACGTGCATTACCACCAAACTCTTACTAGAAAAAATGCACCGCGTATTTCCCACCAACCTCTTACTAGAAAAAATGCACCGCGTATTCACACTGCCGTTACAGGGTCGTGTCACGTTGTTTTGAGGGGTCTGGTGGAGAGTATACCAGACATCCTTGGAGCCGTCGCATTATTCAGGGAACAATGTCATAATGTGCCGTAAGTACAGCCCTCTGGTTGACAAGGGCTTGTCAGAGCTGCTGGTTATTATGTTGCCTACTTGCACACATTTCTCATATGCTTGAACACGCTTGCGAAAGCAAAGACGCTGTCCTACAGGCAGGTATACAAAGGAGTATGGCGCTCTTCTCTTTTCACTATTTTGGCTACATCTCCTCTACGTAACCAGATTCCAAAAATGTTTTTCTACTGGCTACTGAACTATCGAAGGCTGGTAGTAATCACCCTCAGCTTTTGGCTTCTTGTCAC